TCGCGGAGGAGGAGAATGTTGGAGAATTAAAAGTTATGCATACTTTTATTTTTAAAAAAATCAAAACGCCGGGAACAGACATGTCAGTATCTGTGCAAGAAAAAAAGTGATAATTCTTTATTGCCTAGACGATGAACTAATCGAAAGCACAAGCCAGTCACTCAGTTGCAGTTGGACCCTAGCACCAGATCCTACGAATCTGCTCAAAGGGGAGGTGTTAGCGGGACATAGACTAGATTAAAGCATGCTCAATGCATGATTGCTTTGGTGCACGCTGATTGGCTAATTCTTATCCAATCAGCACTAGCCGATAGTTGGAGAACACTCTGGAATCTTCTTATGTAAAAACTATAAATATACTGACGTTTTCCCTATTGTGCTTCTGACTTGCTATTTGGAATATAATCTCTTTCCTGTTCAACCGTGTTCTGATTTGGGGACTTGTCGAGTGAATCGGTGTCCGAGAATACTAAGCAATAGGAATAGCTGGGTCATTACCAAAAGAAGAAGAGATTATAACAAGTCGATTAGGTGTTCAAGTATAGAACTCCTAACTTCCTTTATCCCACCCTTGTAGAACCAAACTGAAACGTGTTGCCGTATCCGAGTTGAAAGCGATCGCTGGCTACGGCTAATGTACCTTGCTCCACAAGAGCAAGTGAACTGGTAGATGCACATGAAGGTGACCAGACGGGGAAGCTTATCTTTTATGGATACAGAAAATAAGTTCCCGCTACTGAACGTTATTCGCGGTTTTGCCGCATTGAACGTTCTTTTAATCGCTGTCGTTAAAGGATTTTTGATTACATCAGAAGTTTGATCACTTTAAATTCCAAACTTATATAGAGGTTTTTCTTTGAAACGGAACAAACAGATTTCTTGTCACGACTACTTATTTTCAAATTCTTATCTATGAAGCGGTCCGGATAGCCATTTTTCGTTCGAGTTTTCCTGAGGAATGCGAGTTCTTCGTCAATGCATTCCATACTACATATCCGATGTATTTGATTACATAAAGAGTGAATGAGATTTCTCTTTTTGCCTAAAGAAACCCATCTATAGAAGTATGTCAGCTGGCCATTTCATGTTTGTTTTTTAAATATGGGGCTTTTAAGGAACCGTTACTCTTTTTCATCAAACGCACATTGAGAAAAGAGATTGACTGTTCCCACTCACTTTCTAACGTGAAGTCTATGGAAGGGTGGCACGTATTGAAGGAGTGTAAGATATCTTCTAATTCAGTATTATCGTCATAAACGACAAATTTGTCGTCCATGTATATTACTTACGGATGAAATCGAGTAATCATCGAACTGAGTTGGTCGTTTTCCAGTTTTGCTATGAAACGGTCTGCTAAAATTGGACTCAATGGAGACTTCATTGTGATCCCATCTCTTTATATATTTCATTGCTGAAACTGAACTTCATATTAAAGGTACAACGTAACAATAGTCCCTTCAAGTGGTCAGTCGGCAAACCTAGATTTGCTTAGTTTATTTATAAGCAAAATATTTTTAAGTAAATATTATTTAACACTGCTCCACATCTCATAGGGAAAGATTCGTGTGGTTAGCCTTGATGACGGTGTTAATGTCTAACTTCAATCAATCCATGATATTGCTCAACCCTTGATCTACTGCCTGAGGTGGATGTCTCACATCCTACACAGATTGCGTTTCACTGGTCAAAACTTCCCACGAGAACTCCAGGAAATTTATCTTGAAGCTAGTCACTAGTGTTCGCACGCCAGACCACAGGTCCTGGGTCCGAGTCCTGTGTGTGGGATCATAGGTACGCAAAACTGAGGAGTCCCATACTAAGACGAAAAGGCTGTCCAGTGCTTCCAGGTTTTCATTGATGGTCTAGCTTACTTCGACTCATGAATTCGACTATTAAAATTGCCCCAAAATGCCCCGGTATGACCGAGGGTGGGTGGGCCCGTCCCCCTATCGAAATGCTCTCACAAGCCACGCGTATACAACCTCTGTCAGGGGAGTCCTACTCACTGCCTTCTCGAGGCGGGGGTGTTGTTTACGAAATTGAGAGGACGAAAAGCGAATAACCGGTGCTTTAACCGGATCCCAAACCAATGGTGCACATGGGCTCCAGTATCCTGAAGGAACAAATGGCGTATGAACCAATCGTTGGTCACCGGGTACCATGGGACTGCATCTCCTCATGATGCTCCGCTGCCTTGTGGGTTAGACCTTTAGATTAAAGGCTCGGGGTGTGGCCCCCTAATAAAACCACCTGCTTCGGTCTGGGCACCTGGGCAGTATCACAGCCCACATACAAATGAAATGAAAATGACGATATTTACTGAAAATTCTATCCACGCTTCGATTAACAGTCAAAAATTCACATTATTATTTTTACCACGTTACTTATTCACTCTCTTTTATCCCCACTTTATGTATCCTTATTTTTCGATTTATACAGCAGCTCGCCTATGGTGGAAACTCGGTTCTATCTAAACGTTCTCGAGTCACTCTCTGGTTGAAAATTGTACGCTACGACCAAATACGAATACTGAGGCAGTTTTTCTGAAACCACGTGCACCATTCAAACTGGCTGCCTTTAACGTTCGCACACTTATGCAGATCGGACAACAGACAGGGCTGGCTATGTCATTGGAAAGTCTTAATATCGACGTTTGTTGTCTATCCGAGACCCGTATTCAATACTCTGGTGAAGTACTACAAATTCTCACTCCATCTGTCGCTTCAAAAAGCCTGTTTTACATGCGTTTATCCGGGGATCCTGTGGCATCTTTGGCTGTAAAAGGTCGGATCTACAACGTGTCGGTGAGAGCAGTTTTGCTCTATGCTTGTCAAACCTGGTCTCTCCGAGTTGAGGATGTTAGACAACTCTGTGTTCGATCATCACTGTCTCCGAAGGATTGCTGACATCCAGTGGCAACACCATGTTAGTAATGCAGAGGTTCGGCACCATGTGTTCGAGAGCAGAGACGATAATCCAATTGTTGTCACCATTTTGGGACACCGACATCGGTGGCTGGAACATGTCCTACGAATGTCGTCCCAGAGAATTCCACGTCGTGCATTATTTGCCGACTCTGGGATTGGTTGGAAAAGGCGGAGAGGTGGTCAGTGTATGACATAGTGTCGGGGTATGAAAGGAAGCTGCAAAGAGCTGGCTTCTGTTGGTCCTTCACGACTCCCTGGCTGGAGTCCGAGAGATGGTGCGACACAATGGCTAGAGAAGTTATCAGATATGGTTCAGAATAAAAGCCAGTGGCGATCCTGCTGTAACCTTCTTTTACTTTCTTCATATGAAAGTGGTTGTATCTTCCTTAACTGAAAGAATTCTTCGGATTGTACCTTTCCGTCCCCCCCCCATTATTATTATTATTACACTACCTTACACTAATCTGGCCGTTATTGTTCTTTTTTCACGCTCCTTATGTCCCTTTTTTCTCTTCCCATTCTCATTGTTTTGTGTGGCGCATATATATTTGGTGCTTCCTTGTACCGATATTTGTGTTCAAACAAATAAATAATAAATTAAATTTATTACAATCTCCACAAACCCTACCCTGCAAAGAAAGATTACGAAAACATTGATATTCGCCGTAAAAATCTTAATCTTTTTGTATCTTATCTGCTAAAAGTGAGAACAGTGAGCTTTATCAAATAAGATTCAAGACAGTCAGACATCGCCAACGTGAAGCCGGGGACGGCTGTGCGTTGGCTCAATTTATCATGTCAGCTTAGCACGACGACATGGAAATGAGGTAGAGAAAGGATAAGTTTTACATACCACGTCCAGACCAACGAAGCAGCATGACTATTAAGATGGTATTTGGAGGATTGGCATATACGAAAACAAATGTTCTTTGTTTTTACAGTATCATGTTATAAATTGAGTGCCTGGTATAAACATATAGTGGGGAACGAAGCATAGGGAAGTGTGGAAGGGACGGAAGATTTTGAAGGAGATGATACTAAGCTCAGGATACAAAATATCTATAATGAATTTCACTGTCACCGCCACTAATTTTCAGCCACGTCATTCAAGATCCTCAATCATAAATCATAATGACTACACGAGATTCAATTCAAATGCCTATATCTTCCAACACGACTGGGAGTATAGTAATGAACATCTTTGGTAAGTGTCAGTGGTCGCTTAATTTTTAGGTAACTATTGGAAAACTTATACCTGAGTGTATTATCCTACTTAAATTTCTAGTGCCTTAAAATATCTCTTAGGAAGCGCCACAACACTTTATGAAGTTAAGGACGTCCTTTAAATAACTGAAGTTTCATATAAGGTACCACATATAAATGTTGTAGAGCCCCATATAAAATGAAGATGTGACTGACATGCTTTCAATTAAGCTTAACACTCACTCAGTTCTACAATGTTTATCTTCAGTGTAATTAAAAGCCTAAAAACCACAAACTCCATGTATATAACAACTAACTCTCAACCATTAATGACATAATATTTGAAGTTGTTAGGTGATGTAGATTATTTTGAATGAATTATCTCCGAACCACAGATACTGACTTCGTTAGTTTGAAGGCTAATTTTAATTCTCTGAGGGAACCCTAAGCTGAACCAATCTTTCTTACTTTTGCCTAAAGGAATGTATGGGGCTTATTTAAAAACTAATTCCTAAAATCTAGTTGAACCAACGAAAGTGATAGGCTTTCGTCTTGTTTGACAATATTTTCACTAACCACAACATGACATTATTACCCCAGCTACTTTCAGTCTGACAAATATCCAGATAACTTTCCTTATATTGTAGAAACATAATGAACAATTGCCCTAGCTAATAAAATGCGATTAAGACGATGATACGTAGTACAGATCCCTTCTGAACACCATACGTCAGTCAATAATCCCGATCAATAACAATTATCAAACCCATTATTTTAACGATGCTAATCCATTATACCAACGCCCTAGTAAACGATTTAACACATTTCTCTCGTTGTGAGAAAGCTACAGATATTTAAAATATATTATAATAACTGTACAATTTCAGTACCATTACGATCATTCCTTTATGCGCTTTAAACTTGTGGAGGAAGAAGATCGGCTGCTTTCGCAACATGAGGAAGTACTGGAAGATGAGTCGTCGCTAGAATCTCCGTTACTGCTTGAACTACATTCTGAGGTAGATTCCCCATCATCAGAGTCATCCCCAGAACTTGAAGTCGAAGAGTCAGAGGACGAACTAGAGCTTGAGGATGATGATTCAGTGTTGTTTGTTTTTCTGTAGGAACAAAACCAGGTTATATGCTTTAGACGTACTTTTGAATCTTTGACTTTTTCTGAGTTTCAAGCTTTTTCACTAGTATACTGGTGTATGATTCGCGTTTGAGATACTTTCGCTGATTTGTACATTGATAAGTCCAGTGACCTTTCTCTAAACACTTCTGACAATTTATGAGTGAAGTATCGGTGGCTCGGCTGAAGAAGGGAGAAAATTGTGCGAACATTCCATAATACTGTATCACTAGTCACGAAAGTCAAATTAAAAATGGAAATGATTCGAACTGAATGATAAACTCAATTTAGTTTTATGTAGTGGAGGATGAACTCCACAATACAAGTAGATGTAAAACTACCGCTAAAAAGTGTTGTGACAGCAACAGTTCAGACCTCTCGAATTTTAAATATGTTGAGTTACGTCACTCAACTCTGAAGGAATTACTAAATTCAAAGATTGATAAGCATCGGATTTTGGAATAACTAGATCAAATAGTTTTCTTGTGCTATTTTTATACGTCTTTAAACCTAGATTATGTTACAAACTGCTTACATCTTTTTTATTCGCATATCCAAATTATTTTAATGTTCACATGGTGTAGCCATAACTGCAGACCAGTTTACAATTGTATAAATATCTCAGAAGTCTACTGAGTGATTATTTAACTTTATATTCAACACTTTACACAACAAGAAAGTAGAAGGCTGAAAAGGCGTAAACTCATACAAATGACAACCCATCTACACAACCACATACAAATTCGGCAATTAGGGGTAAAGAAGGCAGAACCTATATGGTCGTCCAAACGAAAGTGCAAGTAGTATGAATTGTAATCTGACGGTAAGAAAATGTAAATTGTCTGAACCATGTCACTGCTTGGAAATTTGCGTAAATTCTTAAGAGGGAAATGACTCAAGAACTTGGGCAGAAAAAACAGATGACATGTAGTACTTACTGAATGAAACAGCACTTGTATCAAAAAGTCAAAGTTGGTACTTCAATATATTCACAAAAATTACTGAGCTATACAGAAGTAAAGTGTTCATTGAGATAAAAATTAATAAGACGTAATCTTAACATGATTTCAACCCTTCATAAAATAAGAAAAGACGAACTCAGATAAATAAGTGTCAGTCATCAGCGTCACTTAGCATCAAAATTGATTCACTGTTAATTTCATCATGAAGATTCTGTAAACCGCATATCCTTTCAAGATAAGAAGCGTCATTAAAGACCTGTCGTAAAAAGTTATACCCATTGTCCATGTAAGCGTCCAGTACAGACTGAGAACATGCGGAGCACTTGGTGAATGCCGATGTTGCAGGCAAAACCTGTGTGTAATGAGAAAGAAAGCCCCTTATTTGATGGGGAACAACACCGAGAGACAGTTTAGTTGAATCCAGGCTGGAAAACTCTTGAGATAGTGTATCTGCTGGAGCCTCATAGAGGAGTGGATGTTGAAGTACACTGATCATCAACTCAACAGCGAGAGCAGCTGCGATCATAGACACTCCCGGTCGAGTAACGGTACATTGTTGATCGAGACTGCGATTGCGTGTTGAATTCATAGGTCCAATCACATCATTGCAGAAATAGCAACCTAGGAAAGAACCACTTATGGCTCTTGCCTTTTTGAAAGAATCGTCATTGTTGGGAATCACTTCGTCGAAATTGAGGGAAGAAATATGTGGAGTAAGGCTATCCACATTTGAACTTGGGGATTTAAAGGAACCTCGTACACCATGACGCATAACAAGAAATGTATCAAAACCCAAAGCAGCATTTATTGCCAGTTTTCCATGAGCAGTCGCCAAAACTGTGGGTAACCAGCGTGATTCACGAGTATCTGTTAGTAGGAATATCACATCGTGTTCGTGAACCAAAGCACTTAATTTGGAACAAGTATCTTCTGCAGACTGCTCCAATTCGGAAAACTGTGGATGCTGAGATCGATTATAAGAAGATACAGGATGTCCAGGCATTGGGATGCTAAGATCAAAACCGCGAGCATTCACCCCAGGAAAAATTGTTTGAAGCGCCTTGGCCGCAACAACTGCCTTGTTTTTAACAGAGCCCACGGAGTCAGAAAAAACATACAACGACTGCCGTACAGGATTTGAAAAGGAAACTGTGCTGTTGTCTATCAGGGTAATATGACGAACACCCCAGGCCAATAGCTGACGAGCGACATTGCAGCCAAGAGTACCAGCTCCTATCAACAAACACTTCGTATCGCGAAAAACTGACAGTTTTAGGTCCGGCATTAGCCTCCACTTCATTAGCTTTAAGTTCAAATCTACTGCCGATTCAGCTAGTTTAACTGGGTCCATACTTGCACTAAGATCTACTACACGTGGTCTCAGTTTGTTTTTCCATTTTTCCCAGCCAACAAACTGAGTAAATGTCGGATTTGTGGGTTGTATATTGATGTGTATGACGATGCTATGCTCCCAAAATCTTTCTCCTGAAGTGAACCGATCTCTGAGACATAAAATCCTTAGAGAATATTCTGTTTGAATAATGGTAGAAGACATGGCGTATAAAAGATTGCGTAATAGCCAGCAAGGTGACTGTGAGTCTACAGAAGAATCACACATACCAACATATACATAGGGAGTCAATTCAAAACAAGACAATGGAAGGACTTCAAGCGACGGTTGTGATTTTAAGACAAAAAATGGAGAAGTATTTTCTTTGCGCCAACAATCAAATGAACGGAAAATGAGTACACGTTGATCCTCAGTAAACTCCTCTCTAATACTCCGAGTAGACGTAACTATTGGCTGAACGGAATGTAAGACGGCAGGAAAAGCAAACCAAAAGTAAAATTTGTATCTTTTCAAGTCACAGTATGTCAAAAGAATGAACCGGAGAAGTAAATCAGGCTTCCTCAAAAATTCATTCTGTGAAATAGCTTCGGTCATGAATTTCTTACCGTGTTCATTCAGAAGACATTGTTTGTCAACGTTCTTAAACTCATCCAAGCTATTTAGGCATAACAGGCTTCCATAAATGTTGAAGGTCGTTGATGTATGACTTCTTTTGACATTACTATCGCAAAATGACGTGACGTCAATCGACAGCCTGGGGGAAACGCCACTAGCATGACTATTTGTAAACTGTGCTGATATTTCAAAAGGGCCTTCGGAAAGACGATATTCACTGAGCTTCCGATCAGCTAAACCATGCCAGAATGAGGTATCTACTACTGTTTCGAAAGGTACATACTGAAGTACTGACATTTTCAGTTATAATCAGTAATCAAAGCGCGTAGTTTTATGCCTATTTATATCACTGAGTACTAGTAATCACAAAAACATAGGACCTACCTCTGGAAGAGCGTTGGTAGCCGCGGTTTCCTTAAACCCGACATGCAGCACTTAACTCGTATCGCGCAGCCAATTGTGTTTCAATCTGACAATATCTTATATCTTTGTTCAAAATGGTTCAAAATGGTTGTCGACGGAATAGAAGAAGCTTTCGCTCAACAGACTTCCGTGTCTAGTAGCAGGGGATCACCAAATCCTCCAGGCAGGAACCTAGGTATGTTAGCAATAAAACAGGAAAAGAAATTAGTAAATCATAGTGTGATACTATCCTTAGACCTTATTAATATATAAAGTTGCCTCTTAAAGAACTCCTGGGAAGTCGCTTGGACTAGCTCGGCCGGCAGCGAATTCCAGCATTTGACAACTCTTAAGGAGTAGAAGTTGTGTCTACAGTCCGTTCTGCTATGTTGTGTCTCCAGTTTTTGGGTGTTACCTCTTAGGTTAGTGTTGGAACTAAGCTTGAGTAGGTGTTTAAGAGGATGTCCAGAAGTGTTAAGGATACTATAAGCCATCAGGAGGTCACCTCTAAGACGTCTATACTCTAATGGGTAAAGGTTAAGTGAATGGAGGCGCTCTTCGTAAGTTTTAAATCTGAGTCCTCGAACTGATTTCGTGGCTCGCCGTTGGATACGCTCCAGGGTGTCCTTATCCTTTTGGAATGAGGGGGAAATACTATGTTTCCGTACTCTAAATGGGGACGGATAAAACTATTGAAGATTACATGGAAAGTTCTTCCGTCAAACTGGCCAAAAATGCGCTTCAATATTACTAGTGCAAAGTTTGCTCGGAAGGCATTTTTATCACATTTAGCGTAAGACTTTAAATCGTAGGGCACCAGGACTCCTAAATCGTTTTCGACTTGGGATACTACTAGAGAGGAGTTACCCAAGTTATAACTGTAGCCTGCGACATGTCGCAGATGGACTACTTTACACTTTGAAGTGTTAAAGGTAAGTCCGTTGTCATCTGCCTAACTCTGAAGTCGAGTCAGATCCTCCTGAAGTGCCTGCATATCGTCTCGGTTGCGTATCTCTCTCCAAAGTTTCACGTCGTCGGCGAAAAGTAATAAGTCTGACGTTACCTGTTGAGGAAGATCATTTATGCAGATCAAGAAGAGAAGAGGCCCTAGTACTGAGCCCTGGGGGACCCCACTAGGACATTCCATAGCCTGAGATAAAGTGAAATTAACCCTGACCTTAAAGTGTCGATTTTTCAGGTATGAAGTAAGCCAATCGATTAGAGGTGGTCTGATACCCAATCGTATGAGCTTATTGATAAGACATGTATGGTTAACCTTATCAAAAGCTTTTGAGAAATCAAGGTAAATGATATCAACCTTCCCCTTGTGATCAAGGATGCTTGTCCATCAGTCCACCGCAGTCAACAGGTTGGTAATACAAGAGTAACCCTTCCTGAAACCATGCTGTCGGAGTGAGAAGAAATTTAAGGACAGTAACTAGTCATTTATGACATCGCATATCAGGGACTCCATGATTTTTGAGGGTATGGGGAGAAGAGCCATCGGTCGGTAACTTGAAGGTGTGATGTGAGCCAGCTTTCAATTTTCCAGTAGTTTTCCTCAACTTAGCGAGTGTGAGAACATCACGCTAAGCGGCGTTGCCAAGATTGAGGCTGCTTCCCTCAGTATGGCGGAATGGACCATGTCCGGGCCAGGAGAAGTGTCTAATCTTAAGTGCTGCAGTTTCTGGAACACCAAGTCAGCGCTTAGGTTCACTTCGGAAAGTTCTGTGGAATCGCAAACGAAACTGTCATCAGTAAAGTTGATGTCGGTCGGTAGAAATGTCTGGGAGTAATGTTCAGCCAGAAGGTTAGCGGCGTCGCCATCGTTGTTGGTCGGGCCGTTAAGACCTAGCAGTTGGGAAACTCCTGTTTTGGCTTGACGAAGAGAGGCTGCATAACGGAATAAGCTTTTAGGATTGGAGGCAAATTTGTCCATAAGCTTTGTCTGGTACTGAAGCCTATCTTCTCTTATAGCCTTCGTGCATATGTTCCTTATATGTTTATATTACCTGTACGCTCCGTCGTTATCAGTTCGTTTGTATTCCGCCCAACAGTGCCTTTCGCGGCTTAGCAGGCGAAGGGTACGGTCCTTTATTATTGTAGGTGGCTTGCAGCTTTTGGGAACCGTTTGAAGAACTGAATGGTTTGTAGCACGTAAGAGCGTGTGCAGTAAGAAGTCCCAATGACCGTCCTGAGATACATCAGCTAGATAGTTTGGGTTGCTATATTAACTTAAACCAACTACTTTACTCATTTTGTAGAATCCTATGAGGCTAACTCAGCCATTCATCTGCAGTAGTTTATAGTGACCTCTGCGTCAAATGATTTTTGTAACAGCGAAAATTAGGAACACATTTTTTATTTATTTGTGACACTTTATGCCTAACCACATTTGTAGTCAACGTCTGTTGCTGATATTCAAATAAATCCTATCTTCGTCCTCCATTTTTTTGCGCTACTGACCATTGCCTGTTATTAGCGATCATAAGCGTTATAACATCCTTTTAAGCCATTCTAAACTACGTGTTACTCTTAGCCTTGATAATCATTCAATGACGCCATCGGATCTATATTTCGCTTCACACCGCTGGTGCCATCAGTGCATAGGAACCTTCTTTAAATGAGTGTACTCTGTTTGTTGTTGTTATACCAGAAGGAGCCTACGAGCGACAGTACTTATTCTCATTTTTGCCATTTTATATCCTGCTCTTTTGTCTTAGCAGCTTTGGTGGGTACTTAAAGACAGATTGTTTTCTAAAACATTGAAAAGTTCTTCTCAGAGAAATTAGATTTCTGGGGTCAGAAATCTGTACACCATTCATAGGTGGTTCAGTTGACTATGTCAAGCTATCATAATATGTGAAACGTTTGAATTTTTATTATGCTAATAAGTTCCCTGTATCATTGTCTATCATAATCTGTATGGACGTACTTCGTCATCGGTCTGCTTCATTTCTTCCTCATCACGCCCCTATGTTTTCACATGCATGTTGCTCATCACATACCCCTGGTATACAACATAATATCAAGCTATCCGTGGTGACAAATAACACAGCGCTCCGAAGTAAAACGTCGATATTGATGTCGACCTCATCAGTCTTACTGGACACACCCTAGCTGAAGGCGCTCAACCACCCATCTGTACCAGATCACGAGTGAGCACACCATACTACTCATCCTTTGCAACTGCTAGTCAGCTCAAATTGAATGCTTCTCAACACATTTACAACCTTCCAAATATATTTTCAAATTCGTTCACTCCTGACTTCTGATTTGACTGGGTTGGAATCCTTCGATCACCAAGGTGTTACGGAAGAAGGCTCTATCAAACTTCCCAATTTTTATAGTATCTTTAAATCAAAGACGAACAGGAAGTCGCTGCAATTTTCAGAACTGCCCTAACAAGTCGTTATGTAGACATAGTATGATATATGATGCATAATTCTGCTCATCCAGTCGAGTAAAATTGTTTTTAAGGAGTACTTTTAAATAAGGTTGTGAATTCAAGCGTTAAAACACATGACATTTTTGTATTGACATCTTATCCTAGTCATTCACTTGTTGGCCATTTTTAAAGGTAGTTCGTGAATCTTCAGTGAATCATCTAGCTGTCATTCACTGCGGCCTACTGAAAGAGCTATAATTGTGCAGCGAGAATTTGTTAAATGAAAAATACTGGCAGTATATAAACCCGATTTATCACTATGATGCATACCGTTTGATGTGAAACTCTGTGAAGATTGCTTCCTGTGTCTATATCGTATCCCTCTGGTAGGGTTACCTTGTTGAGATGGTCTGGACTACTCAGTACGTCGTAGACTAAGATAACATCACTCCCCTCCAATTACTAGTGGACGAATACATCACCCCACAGAGGCAGTTTCCTGCATTTTTACTCTCATGTGGCCACTCTTTTGCGTGTCTATGGGCTTTTCAAGAGGCAATGGTTTCGTTTTTTTTAAAGGAATAATGAAACCGTATCATGATTTCCGAGATTCGCCATACATGACGGTGGAATAGCGTTCAAAGTAGTTTAAGAGTGAACATACTTAGTTTTGTGTGAAAGAAATAAAGCAGAATAAGCTCCAGCGACATCTCTTAAAAAGTTGAGGATTAAGTTTCATTAGTTTGTTAGAAGCAGACCTAGGTCGCGCTTATTTGGTTTTACAAGAGGAGAGCAGTTATCAGAGAGGACATGAACAGTTATCGGCGTTTTATGGGTGAGCATGTTCATAAAGTAAGATTTGGCTGAGTTGAATATTTAGCCATTATCTTCATTATATCTAATAATAATATACCATAGAATAACCGTCAGCCAAACGAGGGACATTCTAGCCTATTAGTAAGATGAAATTGATAAATAGCTTCACACCAAAGTGCCAATAGTTTGAAGAATGACTGGTGCTATCCAAACATGATCAGTAAATTTCAAGGATAAACCAAGTTACATGTGAATATTAGGGAAAAGTGCGTCTGCTTTCGAATAAGAAGGATTTGGTACGCTCAAAATCTGTTGCACTGTGATGTTTGATAGTAGTTGAAAATAGTAGAATTTACAGAGTCGCTGAGAGAAAGCACTATGCCAGAGCACAATAAATGATTCGCTAGTGTTAACTGGCTGGTAATTCAGCTTATGCACTCTCCATGTATACTAACGAAAACTTTGTCTGCCAAACCCATCTTTATCATGAATGTGTATAGTCGATAATACTTAACCAAAAACCAAACCACCCGTATAGGTGCATGCTACACACATCGTTAATCCATATCATGGATGTTGCAACATTTTTACACGTGGTTTTTCGTTTAACCCTCTATGTTTCTTTTCACTCAAAGTTAGCATATAATATCAGCGGCAAATATTATATTCAGATATTTTCATCAAAGTGACATTTCTCTTTAGCACCAAACTTCATACCCTTAGCCCATTGCGTTACAAACAGTTCTCTCCGTTCGATAACGTACAGATATCGCCCTCACTTGTACTGATCTAGCACATACGAACACATCTGCTCTCCACTCA